TGACAGTATCCTTCGTCGAGATGAATCACATTCAGTTTAGAAGCAGCTGGTGAAACCACAAGTAGAAACCTGCCGTTCGTTACAATTAAACTACTCATTGCTGAGATGAGCAATGATGCATTGTCGAGATAGCAATGAGATCGATATGGTGCAAGATAGCAGTAATGCAAGACATTTCCGAGATAGAAATGAGATTGATATTGCAAGATAGCAATGATGCAAGGTAGCAGTAATTTGAGATATTGCCGAGATAGCAATAAGATTGATATTGCAAGATAACAGTAATGCGAGATATTACCAAGATAGGAATGATATTGATATGGCAAGATAGCAGTAATGCGAAATATTACCGTGATAGCAATGAGATTGATATTGTAAGGTAGCAGTAATGCAAGATATTGCCGAGATATCAATGAGATCGATATATTGCAAAAATAGTAGTAATGCAACTTACTGCGTACTGAGGTAGCAATGAGATTGATATTGCAATATAGCAATGATGCAAGATATTGCTGAGATAGCGACGAGATTGACGATGAGGTAGCAATTCTTCTCTAAGCCTTGGAAACCGCCCCGTGCATGGAACTACGCCTCTACACTTCCCCCCCCCCATATGACCCGATTAAATGTCATCCATCACTTATGACGAGTCACAACTCGACAAAGGCTGTTCTGCACACGGAAGAAACCCAACATCCGCAATCATCCCACATATATATATAGAAGAAAACATCTAAGGAAGGCTCCTGCACGAAGGCTGCTGCGTCCAGATGTAAGCACAAAGCGACTAATTGTAACTATACGCCCGTCCTAGCCACATGCGCATGCGCGTACGTGCTATTACTTGTCATCGGCACGTTCACTTGTAGCATTTATAGGTAGTTATAGATCTGCACCAACGGTCCTAACATCTCAACTACCCACATATAGAGATCTTCCCTTCATCACGTAATTCCTCCTTTACTCCCAAATCTGCTATTTTCTAACCTTATGATCCCTCCCCAAGGCTTGCCCTTCTTGCCCTTTTTTAATCTCCCCGTTAGACCTTTCCCTCGCCCTCTACGCCTTTCCATTGGTCTCGATCGCCCCCATCCAATAACCTTCCCTCTTCCATAGGTCTACTATGTTCTCCCTAATTTTTCCCTGTCTCTTAGCGCTTCCTCTCCCACTCTGATCCCCTTTCCTCCTAACAGCTTGTTTCATGCTACACTCACGCGATACCATATTTCTCTTCACATGAAATAATATCGTTACCTGAGTGCGTGTGGCGAGGCGCGTGCAGTCACAAAATATATGTGGTCATTATGCATCGAATCATTCGATTCACGCATCGAATGTTGCATCAAATGATTCGATGCGTGAATCGAATGATTCGATGCGTGAATCGAATGATTCGATGCGTGAATCGAATGATTCGATGCGTGAATCGAATGATTCGAAGCCTGAATCGAATGATTCGATGCGNAGGAAGGCAGGAGGGGGAGACATGCGCGGAGAAGGTGGTGGAGGAGCGCAGCGTGGGTGAGAAGGCGGAGGACCAGGACGGAGGTGTGATGGGTGTGAGCGAGGAAGGCCATGGAAGGAGGAGGAGAGCGATCGGTGTTGAGCGATGCGCAGGGGAGAATCGTGGGGCGAGAACGGGGCTGGAGGCAGGGAGGTGGTCTGATGATAAGGTGGAGGAGCGAGGAGCCGAGGAGGAGGAGGGTCGTGAAAGGGAAATAGCCGGAGGCGCCAGGTGGTAGAGGAGGAAGGGCTCGCAGATGGCGTGGAAGGAGAGAGGATGGAGAAGCGCTTGGAGGATGCGAGGAAGAGCGAGGAGGAGGAGGCGGAGCAGTGGATATAGGTAGACTGCGAGGTAGAGGCGCCCTTCCCTTCTACTTCCTCCCCCTCACATCCTCGCCAACCTACCTCTCCTCCTCCCTCTCCTTCTCCTCCATTCCTTCATCTCATCCTCCTCCTCCTCCTCGTCCTCCACCCTCTCCCCTTCCACGCCCTTCCTTACCTCCGCCACTCTTCTCCCCACTTTCTCCCCCCTTCCTCTCCATCTCCACTTCCTCTCCTGCCTCTCCTCCTCCTTCCTCCCTCCACACCCCTTTCTCCCCTCCTCCACCACCTGGCCCTTCCCCTACCTTCTCCTTCATCTAACCTCCTCCACCTTCCCTTTCTTCTGGTCCCCTCCTCCTCCTTCCTCCTCCTTTCTCCTCCTCCTCCTCCACCTCCTCTCCTTCTCTTCTTCTCCTTCCCTCTCCCTCCACCACCTTTATCCCTCCTCTCTTTCTACCTTCTCCTCGCCCTCTAAGCTCCTCTTCTCCTCCTCCTTGTTCTCCTTCACCTTCCCCCTCCTCCTCCTCTACCTTCTCCCCTCCTGCTCCACCACTCTTCTCCTCACGTTGCTCCCCCTCCTCCTCCTCCCCTCCTCTCCTCCTCCTCGCTCCTCCTCCTCCTCCACCTTCCTCTCCTCATCTCCTCCCTCCTCCTTCTCCTCCTCCTCCTTCCTCCTCCTCCTCCTCCTCATCCTCCTCCACTTCTCCCCCTCGCTCATCCCACCACCTTCTCCTCACGTTCTCCCCTCCTCCTCCTCCCCCTCCTACTCCACCTCCTCTCATCCTCAGCCCTTTCCACCTCCTCTCCTCCTCTCCTCCTCACACCTCCCCACCTTCTCCCCTCCTCCTCCACCACCTCCCCACCTTCTCCCCCCCTCCTCCTCCACCACCTTCTTTTCCCTCCTCCTCGGAACCCTCCTGCCCCATGTATCACTGCCTTCAACAATGAATAATAAAACACCAAGTGAGTAAAATGATCGGGGGGTTAAATTGCTCCGGAGGGCGTAAATGTCCGGGGGGGTAATTGTCCGGGGCGCGCGCGTAAATGTCCGGGAGGTTGATTGTCCGGGGCGCGGTGATGTGTCCGGGGCGTAAATGTCCGGGGGTAATTCGTCCGGCGGGGGTAAATGTCGGGCCGGGTAATTGTCCGCGGCTGTGCTAATTGTCGGGGGGAAATGTCCGCGGGGTAATTGTCGGCGGGTAAATGGCCATGGGGGTAAATGGCCATGGGGCGGTAATTGTCCGCGGGCGAATTTGTCGCGTGAGTAATTGCCTCCGGGGGGTGATTGTCCGGGGGCGTATTTAGTCTAAGAACCATAGTATGATATATGTGTCGTGTGTAGTGGGACCTATATATATATAGCTTAATGAATACTTTGTTCTTGCATGCTATTATTAGCTCTTTGATAATAAGAAATGTAACAAATGAACAATAACGAATTATCGTGGCGCGTAGTACGATCGTTCTCTCTACTGTCTTTATTACCCTGTCTTCCTCGCCGTCACTGCTTCTCAAACACACACACAGCAGCACAACACAACATCACACAACCACACCACAGCATCACACACACACACACACTCACACACACACACACACAAACACAAACACACGCACGCACGCACGCACGCACGCACGCACGCACGCACAAACACTATATCTCTCTCACTCTTTCTTTTTTTCTCTCTTTCTCTCGATATCTCTCTTTCTCTCTCTCTCTCTCTCTCTCTCTCTCTCTCTCTCTCTCTCTTTATATATATATTAAAATTATTCCCTATTATCTACTCCTGATATATATCTTATATTTAGGCGTGGATGCGACACACTGGATCTCTGACATCTCCATCCCCATGAATGCAACATCTGAATTCACGGGCGATGTCGCCGGAGCAAACCAAGGCAGCAATTGTCCCGCCTCGGTGCACTGCATTAAAAATGCCATGGATAACAACCCCATGACCAAGTGGATTGCTAATTCCAACACAAACGAGGAGATTACGTTCGATTTTGTATCGCCTATTACCGCCTCCGCTATCTGTATCAAATACGGGATGGGTAGCGTTAATACTTTCAAAATGCAAGGTAGTAACGCTCCCGCGGGTCCTTGGTTAGATCTAGGCGGACCGTATCTTGTAACGGACAGTACCGACTTTACTCTTATACACTACATTAGATTTTTTCTCTTCCCAATGGCGTTTCGCTATTACAATATTATTGTCATAGACACGTTAGCATCGGACCCAATTGCAATATCAGACATCTACTTTCAAGTTACAGGTAATTCTACTATAGTTTTTACTTAATTGAATTTACATAATATAATTTTACAAATAATCCTAATCCCTTTCTATCCGTACGGTGATCAAGTTATTTAACAAATGTATATGCACTCGCGTAATTCCAGTCAGATCCAACTAGTACAGAGAGCTAAAGGCTGACAATCTCATCTCTCTATTATACACTCCTTATTATATTTATACTTGATAATGACAAATTACCTACTATGATTATTTCGTCATTATTATTTACTTGGCAACTACACATGCCATGCTACAGCTTTAATACTGCTGGATATGTAGGAGAGTCATCGATCTACCAAAACATATTGATTCGTGATGATAGATGTTTTTTTTTGGCTTATATGTAATGTAGGGAGCAACCCATAATATGTTTAAGTGATTGTTACAATCAGTGATCGAGTTACCCTGGTTGTTTTTAGGAACATGCACCACTTTACTAAGAGCAAAATAATTAGATGAAGATAGTACATTTATAAGATGATAATAAGCGGAAATATGCTAATAAGGTGCTAGGATCAACAGTTACAACGTTGAATAATCAACGCCTGCAGCTAGTACATCCTATCACCACACTCATATTATCAAGAGCTAATAAATACCTAAATAGGTATTTATTAGCTCTGATATTATGATACGTGTCACTGATATTTCCAGGTTAATGTTATTTTTTATTTAAATGCATGTTTAGGTGAGTGCACTGACATGTGTAACATAAACGCTTACTGTGATACTGAAGGCGCGACCTCGACATGTGTATGCCGAGATGGGTGGTTGGGTGATGGCATTTATTGCTACCATAGTAAGTATTTTTCCTGCTTCACGACCACTGATTAAAAGCTTGGCACCTATAATTGGTATCTGGAATATTGATATTCTTAGCGTTTGCCTCTTTGCACGTGCTCTTTAGTGTGGCGTTCTATCATGTGTTTCCAGCATAGACTGTCTTGACTTTGCATATCATAGAAATTGTGATTGGTATATATAATGTTGACACGTGACATTCTCCTCTTCTGTATAGGTGCGTTCTGACGAGGGGTTGCCTAGCGCCAGAAAACACGACGAAACGTGTGACAGGAAATAAAAATTCATCATCGCGTTTTAAGCATAAACTTGTATCGTATATGATTTCAGCTAACACAATTTGCGACTTGGATTTTGGCCGAGGTATAGTGTGCGGAGGTGACGCCATACACGGAAGTTGCTACGCCAATGAGAAAGGAATTGAGCTTTACCATCATTGCATATGTTTCCCTGGATGGCTTCAGACCTCAACACCAAGATGCTCTGAAATGGATCCCTCGGGTAACAGAAATCACGAGATCGGCTGAAATTAAGTTAAAAATATAAGTGAAATAGGAAAAATATCAAAAGAGACAAGAAGTAGAAAAGATAAATAAAAGAAAAAAATAAGAAAAAAGATTATAAAAATATGAGTTGCTTTACGCACCTCACAGTTTACGCCAAAGTATAAATATTTCAGCCGCATATGTTACCAGATGTAAACAAAAACGAAGTTATTTGTTTTTTATTGTACATTGTAAAATTGTAAATTTATTGTAAAATTTATAATTTTGTTTTTATTCACTCCTGGTGTTATCAAGCATACGACAATAATCTGCATAAATAATCTGAGCAACTATTAACAAACTATTATGACGATGTATATTTGTGGTGATACAATCGCATATCTGTTAAACAAACAGCTTTTTATATTATCAGCTAGAGTAAGAGGAACTGATATGATATATACTGAATTTTCCATATCTTTTTTCCAATTTTTTCCAATTTCCAAGCAATTTCGATTTGCAATATTATTTTCAATCAATTTTTTATTTCCAATAAAATTTGTAATGTAAATTTTAATTATATCAAAAACGAAATGGTTGCAGTGGACCAACATCATAACCGCCCAACCACAACTACAAGAGACTGACAGCACTCATAACCACAGAAGGCGTACCACAGCAGCGATGACTACAGCCGATCAAGGCCTCATACCATACCGCACTACAACCATGCCCACCGTTAACCTGTCTTATGGAAAGATCTTCGATTGAGTATACCGCATACAAGATCCAGTGTTATCAATCACCTACGCAGTGGAAGTGAAAGACATTGGTATTGCCCAAATCTCCCAAATAAAATCCATAAATGTGCATCTCATTGTTCTGGCAGATCCCGATTGCGTCATGTTGGTTTCGACATTCCAACTAACACTGCTACATATTTCACGTGGCTTGTATGATAGTTTCGCGATTGTTTCAGTGGGACAGGAAGTATTTGTGTCGCAGTATATAGCGCGCTATCGGCCAGAGGTATTCGAAACTCATGAAAATAGTAATTGGTAACATCTTCTATTTGAGCACCGATCATATTCGCTTATTTGGCTTTAATTAGCTAAACTAATTACTTAATATGATTGTTAATTATTAATTTAAATTATATAATTGCAATTGTTTCTGGTGACAATTGTATGATGAAATGTCATGAGGTTCTAGCTTTTGAACGATAAAGACTCCAAAAAAGTATCATTAAAAACTTGTTATTACACATATATCAGCCGTCATATATAAATAAATATATACGGCGCGGTGCGCGCGCGTGTGTGTGTGTGTGTGTGTGTGTGGTGTGTGTGTGTGTGTGTGTGTGTGTGTGTGCGTGTGCGTGTGCCGTGTGCGTTGTGCTGTGCGTGTGTGGCGTGTGCGTGTGCGTGTGCGTGTGTGTGTGTGTGTGTGTGTTTGTGGTGTGACGACGCATGTAAATGACGTTATTATTCGAGATTGGTCGTATTGTGAATCTTACAGGAGATTTTAGCAATTTATATGTTGCGAATTTGTCGATTTTATAATATATAGCTAATTATTATGCATGATTGTCCAATACGAAGCACATTTCACTTCTAAGGCTAATGTAAAAGCGTGGGTGTGTAAAGACACATTTTACTTTACTTCTGATAACAACGTAAAATTAAGCAATCGTAATTAAGGCATATTTAACACGTGTTTTCGTCATTAACATGGATATTATCTATATAAGCGGTGATAACATGGACTACTACACCAGTGATTAAACAGGTGTACAATAAGAATTTTGGCTTTTGATTACATTGTCATTGTGGCTTAGGCCTACAGCAATTGTTTTCCGAATGATTGGCAAAGGTTCTAGAAAAATGATCACTGTATAAGTTTCCGTCAGGAATTATCGTCTTAATTTCCAGCAATATTATCAATTGAGGTTTGTTATTTTCCATGTTATTATATAGATAAAGCGTTTTTCGAGCTACAAGTTGTTTTTCTCCCTTTCCTCTGCTAATCTTCTTCTGTTTGTTATTTTATATTATTATGTTGTCTTTGTTTGATCGCTTGCATAGTATATTGCATTGTATAGTCATCAAGTGAACCACCTCATGCAAAGCCCCCTATACGCGTATCCTATAAGCGCACTGGTCACTACTAATGCATTGGACCATTTTAGTCTGTTGCAGTACCATTTGTATAATTTTGCATATATGAATATATAATAAATAAATAAATAAATTTATTTATTTATTTATTTATTCATATCAATTGCCGTCAAGTAAATGCTTTTCCGTCTGGTTTCACTGTTCGTTTTCTTACGAAGATTTTAAAACGAAAGAAATGTTGCCACAGCGTCGTTAAAACATTGTGTATCTGCAGTTCCTACTGTAATGTCGACGTCTCATATCGGCTGTTCGAAACGTTCTAAATCATATATAAACGTTATTGATGTTATGACGTCATTACAGGTTTTCACCGTATGCCCGCACAACTGTTATCCGGCTAAGAAAATTAAATAAAAATTGAATTCAGTTTGTGAACTAAATAAGAATATATGCCTTTCTTTACTATTTACACATTCTTTACTGCCTATCTCAGAAGCTTCATGTAACTGCATGCATGCACAACTAATCCGAGCTTACAAGAGGTGTATATCATTTGTGATCATCAATCATATATCGCTGCTATTGACACATTATTATTATTTTCCCCGCGTTGACCGCAGGAAAGCCGATTTTGCCGATTCTGAGATTTACATGTATGTGTGTATAAGTGCATGCGTACATACATGCGTACTTGGCTGCGCATTTGTGTGATTGCATGAAAATACAAGTCATGAAGGTATCAAGTCATAGAGAGAGAAAGAAAGAGAGAGAGAGAGCAGAGGAGACGAGCGGAGAGAGAAAAAAGAGAGAGAGAGAGAGGAAATAGAGAGAGAGAGAGAGAGAGAGAGAAAGAAGACATCCAGAGAGAGAGAGAGAGAGAAGAGAGAGAGAGAGAGAGAGAGAGAGAGAGAAAGAGAGAGAGAAGAGCCGTGGGAGGCAGAGAGAGAGATGTTTTTTAAATGTAGGCTTATCCATAATTCTCTACGGGCGGTGTCGTGTTTGGAATGGTATCTTGGTTGGTCTGTATCACTTAATCGCGCTAACAGGGCCAACAATGCATAACGGGCTATGGCATAAAAATAACTTCACCTTTATGGCTCTAAATATCTATTAAAAAAATACCCCTGATATGTGTTAATGTGTTTATAGGTTAGTTTTATTCGGTCTATGTTTTTATGCTCTATATGGTTTATGGTTATGTTTATTAACTTCATTGTTGATCGTTTACTAGGTTGATCCCCCTTACCCGCTTCACCTTTTAACGGTGTCTCTAACTTTAGCTCAGCATCTGGACACTGTATAGATTTTGATATTGCGTCCAGTCATATACCAGCTGGTAGCATATACACAGCGCCTATTTTTAAACGTGTCGGATGAAAATCTGTTAGTTTTATTGGATAATTATAAGCGAATGATAGTCACAGTAGATATATTAGTAGGTTGCTAATCTAAACGAAATAAAGTCGCAACTGTGTACAGAGTGATAATCTCAATACTTGGGCGTGAGACACGTCGTAATCGCGACAGACCGGCAATACTCACATCTTAATCCTTCGTCGAGACAAACACATGGCAGTTTAGAAGGCATCTGGTGAGACCGCACAATCCCCCGGAAAAAAAAAAACCTGTTGGTTCATTGCAAGATGAGCACATGATCCTTGTCGAGATCGATATGTCACCGAGGCCGTAATGCGAGTATATTACCGAATAGCAAAGAGATCCTAACTAAGTGTGCAAGTTAGCAGAATTGCGAGACAATTGCCTGAGTATATGAAATGAGATTGATATTAGCAAGATAAGCAATGATGCAAGATAGCAGAATGCGAATATTACCGAGATACAATGACCACCGATTGATCATTGCAAAGTAACCAGTAATGCGAAGTATTTATTACCGAGATAGCCACATCTGAGATTTGATATTGCAAGGTAGCCGTACTGCGAATATTATATCCGAGTATAGCAAATTGAGTTTAATATGTGAAGGTAGCAGTAATGCGCAGAATGCGCCCCGGAGATAGTAAATGAGCTTTGATATTGCAAGATAATTAGCGATGATACAAGGTAGCAGTAATGGAGATTATTGCCTAGAAGCAATGAGATCGATATCATTTATATTATAATGGCCTGTTGTTTGATTTGATATTGGATAATATGCGTCATACTTTGGGTTGCTTTGGCAATAGGTATATGTGGGCCCCGAGCGTAGGCGAAGTCAATCACTATACAGGCATGTGCCGCCCAACGAACAGGCATCTGTTTTAGTGCATCACATGACTTTGCATAGTATCGGGCAAAATGAATGAATAAGACAAATTTCTTAAACGAACAATTTAATTGTTAAAACACAAATGTTAATATGATATATTATTAGAATTATAATATATATAATATGTTATTTTATAATAATATTGATGATATTAGAAGATATGCAATTGCCCTTATCATTTTATCTCCAACACCATGCATAAAGTCGAAATCTCAAGCGACGGATAAAGAATCTAAGGAAGCCGCTGAAATAACATAAGTAACTGGCGCATAAGAAATCATTTAAGGCGTGAGTTAATAATTTGAGGCTAACATGAACTTCGAATACAATAAAACCGATTTAGAATACAATTTAAACAAAATATATCATTATTTTCGCGCTCACTCTCATACAGCTGTATCACATTCCACATTTTCACAATTTTTGATTTATTTCAATATATACATATTTGCCTTTCAGTCCGGAAGAATTAAAATATCACGAATCACTAATTAAAGAACTAAATGAATTTAGTATAACAGCTGCTACTAAAGGAAAGAAGCAAATAACTTATACTGGCTCTTGTACCTACGTGAAATCAACATGTGTAGCGAAAATTGCCAGTTCGTTTACCTTCAAATGCCATTAGGAAACTTTCACATATATGCCGTGTGTTTAATTACTCAGTGTGCCAGATTTCTCCACTAGGTGGCGCCAGCTAGAGGTACAATTGAAGGAACCATGTTATGGGATCTGTAAAAGTAAAAACCGGTGTATTTTTTAAATGTACCATGAAAACGTTGCCCTATCCACACACACAAAATGTTTATTCGCGCATTACAATATACATAAATAATATAATGAGAATATTAGTATCAGAATTGCATAGGAGGTCGAGTTGACTGGGAAGTCTTCGAGTCAGCCACTCTTTAAAATGTGATATTATTACATATATGATGGCTGTTAAATGATTAAATGATACATGAGTTTAACATAAATAAGGATACATAATAAAAGATAAATGACGATAAAGTAAAAGAGAACAGGTATGAACAATCAAATAGATTAACATAACAAAACATAATTTTACCGAACAGTAACTAAAGAGTATCAAAAATAATAAGTAAATAAATAAACTAACTGGACATCTATGGTGGTCAGGTCAGGTCTGGAACTATTCTAGACATGCACGCACGTAGCCACGTACGCTCATCTGCCTGCCCGCCCGCCGGCACGTACGCACACACGTACGCACGCAAATATGCACAGATGAATATATATATATATAGAGAGAGAGAGAGAGTGAGAGAGAGAGAGAGATAGAGAGAGAGAAGTAGGGAAGAGGAGNCTATTTACTTATTCTCTGACTCCCCAAATCGAACTGCTACTATTTACTTCTTCTTCAACTCCCCAAATCGAACTCCTTCTTCCTATTTACTTATTCTCTGACTCCCCAAATCGAACTCTTTTCCCCCTTGATTTACGCTCTATTTATCTAATCTTGACAATGGTAGATGTAAACACAATCAGCTGTTCGCTTCTAGATGTCACGTGGGTTTCACCAACCAGTCAGCGTGACGTTGACATGACAATGACGTATATATATACAAACATGGACGAACACTGGACGAACGATGGACGAAATCTCGTCACCTGGACGAGAAAACGGACGAACATGTAAACAGACGGTAATTGTATGTATTGAAAGCTCACCTAAATATATCCTCTCTATGTTGTAACTATATTGTTCCCCCTCCCCCCGTTACTGCACTTAGAACTTTCTACAGTTGGCATTAAACCGACCAGGCTCTCCAACTGGCAGCAAGATCAAGCCCGCACGTACAGCACACACGCGGCGCCATTGACTATATATATACAACAATATAGTTGTATATATATAGTCAATGGCGCCGCATGTGTGCTGTACGTGCGGGCTTGATCTTGCTGCCAGTGGGCTCTCCGACTGTTAGTGTTACACGGCGGAGGAGTGTATTAGTACCCCTCTCGCCACCTCTCGCCCCTCTCGCCCTCTCTCCCTCTCTCGCCACGTAGTGTTATTAGCGAGATGGGAACTTGTGGCTAGGTGGGCATTAGCTCTAGAACTAGACCGGGCTATAGGCATAGCCCTCCGCTCCGCCGTAGGGCTATAGAACATACGGCCCATGGGAACTTCCAAGTAGTAAGCAAAGACAACTTTTTGCGCTTAATCACTTCGGTTCAAGGATAGAGAACATGGGGCCCATTGAAACCTTGGGGCTTTGTATGCTTTGTTACCCGTACCGCCGGTTCGTAGCGGTCTGAGTAGCGATTAAACGCCCATATCGTAACTTTAGTAAATGAGGGGTGTAGACCCTTTAAAATTGACAGAGGTCTTCTTCAGGATGTTGTCTAATAATTTCTAGCAAGAAATATGTCCTTTGTTGTGAGAAAGGCGGCACAAAACGTCCTTTAACCGAGGGTACTCCTCTTGTTTTTACTGTTTTTCACCATTTCAACGCTCTCGTATTTCACGTCATATCACTTCTATTCACTCTGTTATGACTTATGGCCCTCAAATTTCTGTTCATATATCATGCGCGCGTAATTTACGAACTGATACTATACTGACACTGTCTATCCACAGTAAATTACCTCAACAAACGTTCGTATTCGGTTCATGTACAGAAACTAAGTTAGTAAATATGATTATCATTATGATTGCATCAACCTTTTGTTTCATGAATGGAGCCAAAAATACAAAAATAACGCTCTCTTTCTTTCACACTGACTCTCTCTCTGTCTCTCTCCCTCACTCTCCCTCTCTCTCCCTCTCTCTCTCCCTCTTTCTATATATATAGGGCCACACAGCTAGGACTCAGGAGACTTCTAAATTATACTGTGGTGACTAAACAAGTGTAGTGATATGAATGTTACTGAATATCCTGGCAGGCTGCTCGTGTATAACCGCAAATGTTTCTGCATTTCCGAGCAGTAATCGGCATGCTCCTTAGGAGATTGCAACAGTGCGTCAGCAGGGTGTGCTGGAGTCACCCTGCAGCTTCTGACTTTGGGAGGCAAGCTGGCGCTCGCTTGTTTCGCATGGCCGCCCCGGCGTGCCAGGCATTCACCGTGATGACGACGCGTGACGAACACTTGGAGCTCAACATTGCTGGACTGAAGTCACCGATAAGACTCAACTACATGTGGCTGCGAGATCACTGCTACTGCGAGGTACGACTCCGCCGTAAATTGCTATCATCGCTGACTTTATAACTTACGTGGCATCGAGTCAGTGGCTTTTCAGACTGAGACAGGGCGGTGTTGTGAATCTGCGTCTCATAGAGACAGTCCGGGTGTACACTTCATACAGAGTCTCTTAACATATACACACCTAACCAGTTACAGTGACTATTACCATGCATACACCTATTACGTATGTATACTGAACAGTTTAATTCAGTCAAGTCTGTACATTAGAGTCGATCAAGGGTGACCCCAACAAATTTTCTGTACAGTTATCTGTTTTATAGAGGTATGTGGTATCACTGTGTAAGTGGCATTTCAAGGGAAATGCCCAGAATGTCTTCAGTAACATGTTTCCGTTCTAAAGAGGTATATTCGGAAAATAGCATGAACGCATCTATAGACATTTAAACACAGTTAACACAGCATCTATAGACATTTAAACACAGTGTGTACACAGTTAAACACATGTTAGCAGATATATCTGCTAACATGTGTTTAACTGTGTACACACTGTGTTTAAATGTCTATAGATGCTGTGTTAACTGTGTTTAAATGTCTATAGATGCGTTCATGCTATTTTCCGAATATAGCTTATATGTTGTGATGGGGATGAACTGTAACGTGACATTGGCAAAGAAGATTTAGTTGTGTACACGTTTTTTTTTTTTTAGAAATGTTACAGCAGGGATACGTTTCAGAAGAAATTTGACACACATAGTCTTGAAAAGTCTGTAGTGCCAGATGAAATCTTCTTGGAGGATGAAACACTTTGTCTTTTGTGTACGTAATTAGCTATACACTACTTATTATTGTTTAGTTTATTACATGTTATTTATGTACATAAGATTCTTGTACATATTTGCTGCGCTCACACGAGGAGTTTAGTTGCGTTCACACGCTAAAATATACGCGGCTTGCTTAGCCACGGCTTGCTTAGTCGCGATTGCTCCGGCTTGCTTAGCGCGGAATCATATTCCGCGCCAACTAAGCCGCGTATATTCGGCACCACGCTGGCCGCGTATTGATTGTCTTGTGAACCTAGACTGCTACCCGTTCGCTGCACGACGTTAGGGTAGCGTGTGGAACTGTCGACCGGGTACCAGTCTATATTATACCGAGCTAGCTAAGCCTCGAATCTTGTGTATCTCGTGTGAACGCATTTTAACCGGACTTAGCACCAACTAAGTACGGTACCAGCTAAGCCGTGTATACGTGTGAACGCAGCTATTGATGTGCAGTACAGAGTTCTTTTATGTCGTGTATGTCATGTATAATTCATACGTATTATATCAACTCGGTATGTATAAATTCTATTCTTATAAACTATTTATAAGGGTACATTAACTAATAAAGGCGTTTACAGTATAATTACCACACCTATAAGTGTTTTTTAGAGAAATGTTAATTTTTCTTATTTATGTAAATGTTAATTTTTCTTATTTATGTAAATGTTTCTTATTTACATGCACGTGTAACGTACACGTAATTTATAGACTTACGTACGCATTTAGGGCCTGATGGCCACAGAACAACGTTCCAGCTGGGTTGGCTTCTGCAAAACAGCTATGATGGACACAGGCAGGTGAAAGATGTGACAAAGGTCCTCTGGGATGCAAACCACATAAAACAACTGAACCCAGCGATGGTGCCGCACCGCATGTTCATGGACACACAAGACAGCCTCAAGCAACTGCTGCTAAACATTAATACATATGGTTTTGGAATTGTTGATAGCGTACGTACGTCTCATTTATTATAATTAAAATCGAACTAAACACTCAGAGTAAAGATCTGACACTCTTAACTGCCATGATCCAAATGCAAGGTATCTTAAAAACATATCTGGATAATTTTATGGATAATTGAACTATAGTATCTAGAATCCACTTGAATGAAGCAAGGTATTATTTATCTGTATGAAACGTGATTTAGAGTTGCATTGCTGCCTGTAAATGATACAATATCGCCTGTAATTAATTTGCATCTGTATTGCTGCATGTTTAGTGTTACTATAGTTAAATGCGTGATTATGCCTATTTGCATGTAATTCACAGTTATTTATGCTTGTCAATGTAACCAAACGGCTTATAACCGCAAATCAGCATGCTCTCACTGGCCGCCTCGCACTTAGCAGGTACCGGCCACAGAGGAAGCCACAGGGGCGGTGGCCGAGAGAGTCTGCCGCATGCACGAAAATATCTATGGCAAGCTGTGGTCATTTAGCACGGACATGACCCACAGCGACACCGCCTACACCAACTTGGCACTCGGCGCACACACGGACAACACCTACTTGGAAGATTGCCCCGGGTGAGAAGCACACTCTGGGAAAAATGATTCTGTTGAAGATTTGGGTCTTTACTATCATAGTCTCTAATCTAAAGGAAGGCTTGAGTCGTGAGAAAATGGAGTCTTAATCTAGTAGCTAAGGCAATGTATTGTCTTGACATCATCCCTGTGTTTTTTGACCGTCACCCTTTCTCAAATGTTTATGTACCTATTCGCTTTCCACACATTGTAATTTCTATAACTATCACTGCTGTAACGAAAGGCTAACGGAAGACAATATTTTATAAAATTACACTTGCAAATTTATTCACAAATACTCGGTTTAGCAAATTTGCCATTTATTTCTCATGTGAGATGATTGAAACAGATGTTTATTCAATAATGTAGTTGTAAGTGAGTACAAATAATTTCATGGGATATTCAACAGAAATCTGTTACCCTGTAAATTTAGTTCTATCACAGCAGTACAGAGTAATTCTATTAACCACTGTTAGCATTCCTTTATCATAACTGTTTTACAGCAAGACAGTGAAATAACAAACTGCTAATGTTAAAATATTCCACTATTTTTGGTTTAGATTGCCGCAAGTATTGAATGCTTTGATATCCGTCTTTTTCATATGATTATTTAATTGTTACGCCACGTTCCAGTATCCAGATTTTCCACTGTCTGCAGCATGATGGTAACGGGGGTGAAACACTGCTAGTCGATGGATTTAACGCAGCCGATCAACTCAGAAAGGTATGAGTCCTAATTCAAATTGCCAACAAAGTTCTGTTGGCTGTGCAATCGGCCTATCTTCTATCGAAGCGATACCCCCCCCCCCCACACACACACACCCCATCCCCACCCCGGCCGTGGATAGTGAGCACACTTAGGTAGTTTCTTATGCGTGCATGCGAAAATGTTGACTTAGTGAGCTTTCATTACCAAGCAATATTTTTAGTATGCCCTATCGCAACAGTGATTCGCTCAAGCTGCCTGTCAGTCTCGCTCACACGGGTAGGTCAATTTCTCAGCAATTCTCATATGAGCGGCACCTTATGCAGGTTGTGCGTTACCATCATGATGCATGTACCTATACAGCTCAACGTGTCAGCTAGTACCAATTTGCATATATTCATGTCATCTTGTAATGAGGTACATTTGAAAACAATAGGCATATAGGGGGCGCTGATAAGCAACTCG